AAATTGCACATTAAGAGCCAATTCACCGGCTGCCCAACAACAGCCTGTTAACGATTTACAAATGGCTTATACATGGTCTCATTTACTGACCATCTTTAGGTCTTCAAAAATAACGTCTAAAAACAGCCAGCAAATGGTAAAGCCAAAAAACAGGCAATTAACAGTCATTAACGGGCCATTTTTAGGTCGTTTTTTTTCTTCGATTGTGCTTGAGCGTAAGCGAGCTGTTTTCGGATCTTTTCAAAACGTTCTAAAAACAGCTTGTATATAGCCCTAGTGAAACTTTTTCTCTGAAGCACATAACTTTCTTGAATTTCTTGAGTAAGAATCTCATGGTGCGGAGATGCTTCTTACTCATACAAAACGCATTTTTTTCGGAAGTCATGCGCTTGAGTTTCTTGAGGTCAGGCGCATACTTTATTTTATTCTTTCGTGTTTTTATCCCGGTTGTTTTTCGAACGTGATGTATAGAAACAGCTGAGTGGATATGTGTGTATATATACACACGTGTATAATAACAATGTTTTTAAGAAAAGAAAGAATGTCCGTTGTGTATATAGACTAGAACCTTTCTCTTTATTAACACATACTATAAGTAGATATGGACCGAGCTTCGAGTATGCCCGAAAACTCGAACTGAGCTACCCGAAAACTTAAAACTACAAAATTAGTTTCTTGTTTAGTTATACATTCTTATACCATAAAGCTACTTGTTCATATCCCCGCTGTCTAGTTGACTGCGACATCTAGCACAGTAGAAGCAAAAATGGTCACCTTTATTCACATAGAATTGCAATTTGAAAATGCACAGTATTATTCACACATGAATGCAGTTTATGCTAAGTCAAAGGTCTATGTGACACTCACAAAACATTCTTTTTCTTTTGAATTCCTCTACATACAGCTCAGCAGTTGAACTCAGCAGGTAGCTCGATTCGGTGCATACCTGATTATAAGCCTTCATCTTTTCTCAACATATTGCAAAACTCATCGGGTTTTTTCGCAGATTATGCGTGTTTTTGTTCTTTTTTCGAAGGAATTAGTCTAAAAATGAAATATTTTACAAGGTAAGTGCATAACAGCTTCCGAGAGAGGGAAAGAGCGAATTAAGAGAAATAAATCCTTTCAATTTCTCCTTAGTCACAGAGTTGAACTACATACTTCTGGGTCCTATTGTGGGACCTCTTTATCTTTCCGGTTTATCTTTTTTCAAATAATGCATAAAATCTAAGATATCTCCTCCTGAATAGATTCGGTTAAACACAGTGATTGTCAAGATCTCAAAATAAAAATGCACAGAAGTGAGAAAATGCCTCAGAAGCTGATGCCTTCGCAAATGTGAGTATCCCTGGTGTACTTTCGGAATGTAGCGAAGATCAGCTCGGTTCTGTTTGACGCAGAGAGGATTGGGGCTCAGCCATTCCGTCTCTTTCATAAGATACTAGAATGGTTGTAGCAACGAACTGGTCCTTGCGTTAATATCCACGCGTATACACTCTCTTCACTGTCAAGCGTGAATGCTCGATGCTTCACATACGGCAAACTTAATCTTATTGTTAAAACTTACAATTGAATGAACTGAAAGACATCGCCACGCAAAAACAGTATGAGCCTAAAAATCGGCTATCAATTGGCAGCTAACCGGCAATTAACTAGGGGTTTTTTAATACTTTGGGAAAATTCGATTCGCGACGTCACAGTTTCTTGACAGTACATGTTTTAAAATAGAATGAAGACGTCTATGTTCTCTTTTAACATATATAGACAGACAACAGTTTTCTACTTAACGGATCATGTTATATTTTTAACATAGTATACAAATTTTTACATGCTGTTTACACACAGTCGAACAACACTATAAGTTTTTTTGCTTACTTGAAAATTTCGAGATTCAAACATCAGAACTTGTGTTTGCTAGTCTGTCAGTATAACTCTGCAGACTATGTGTAAGAAAAATTTTGCATGTACAGGAAATGAGAGAAAAGTTTATGAAACTAAAAAGATTGAGTTTTTTTAGGTTTTGAAGGAAAAACTTCAAAAACGCATCACTTTTTGAAAAAAGGTCGTGGAGTACTGGGAGTGGTCTTATTTTGTAGCCCACACTTTCCTCTACATTAGGCTATGCTCAGCTCAAGATCCGAAATTTTTACAAAAAAGAGGGGGGGTACCCTTAAGGCCTTAATTATCATGCGTTGCTTCTTATATTAGCCACAAACATAGTACCGTCTGTTCTTGTAGTGGTAGTTATAATGTGATCTCGATCTTTATTGCACTATAAGTATTTTTGTGGTCAATAGAAATTTCTTATTGCATGGTGAGTCATCAGTAGTTCGCTATTTGGTATGTCCATTTTTCCCTTTTCTAGATCTCAGTTGTCTATCTTCCTATCATCGTCTATCGTGTCATTAATAATTCTATCAACCTGTAAATCTGTTTGCTTTCATTTTCAATTTCATATGGGCAGTTAGTGTTTTTAATTTAGGATTTACATCCTCCTTTTTTGGTGGCGTTCCTGCTTTCAAGATTTTGCGATTCCTCCTTAATTCCTCTTTTTTTGAAAACGCTCAGTACGAAGCCAGGCAAATAGACATAGTTTCGACAAGTTTATCCTTTACTAAAGAGGACTATGAAATGACATGTGCCCTTTTTAGGGAAAAATTCACCGAGAAAAATGTAAAATATGAAACTTAAAAAATTTAGTGTCGAAATTAGGGCAAGCGATTCAGGTCAAAAGCAGTCGACATTTAATAGGACATAAATAGCCTGTTAACGAAATGGCTAACAACAGGGTTTCAACAGGCTTTTAATTGCGAAAAAATGGTCACTTAATAGGCACCATTCATTGTCCTCCATCTGACCTTTAGCCTAAAAACAAGCAATTAATTGTGTGTTAGTAAGGCTCAGATTTTGATAACCATTAAATGGCATTTTATTGTCCGTTTTATGACTGTTGCGTAAACAATGAAATAATAAACAAGAAATTCCTAATTTTCTAGAAAATCGACTCCAGTTTCTGTAAACTGAATTTTCTTATTAGTCAGAAAATCGGTGAAAAGTTTCTAAAAAGCTGGAAAATCGCCGTCGATTTTCTACCTTGCTGGAAATTTGATCTTGATTTTCCACATCCGACTTTCTATAAATAATTCCCAACATTCCTGAAATTCGACGTCGAATTTCCAGACTGTTGAAAATTCGATTTTCTATATAGACTTTTTGAAATTTGCCGGAGATTTTCTATAAATAATTTCCGACTTTACAGTGTAGTGGGCAGAATTAGTCATGATCAACAGTCGGATCCCTGGCCATAAACAGCCAGTAATGACTCAAAAATGGCCATTAAACGGTCACTATTAAATGCTTGTTTTCAGGCTGTTTCTTGGTCGTGAAAAAAATACCATTTTTCAATTAGTTTTCTTCCTTTAAAAATAACTTCCTATTTCTGTCATTTTTTCCATTAAGAATCATTCCATTTCCAAAATCACATAACATAACTTTATCTTGATGAGATCATTAATAAATCCGTCTGAACTAATTTTGAAGAAACTAATTTTATAGTTTTAAATTTTCGAGTAGCTTGATTTTCGGGTCGCTTGGACTTCGGGTAGCTCGGTTCGAGTTTTCGGGTATACTCGAAGCTCGGTGCATATGTATAGTATGTATTATAGTATGTAGTCCAGATATGTCCGATCTTAAATTGTTATGTAAAACATTTTGTTCATGTAGTTGATGTAATGTTTTTAATGCCACCGATTTTTCATCATCACCAAATGTTTTTGTCTTTCCACCGAACATACAATATAAAACCAATTTAAATTTTTTAAATGTCCAGATACAATTTGATATGGAATATAAATACCTTTTAATAATTTCATATGTTTATATAATTCATTTTCGTGTTTTAATTGTATCTTCAATTGCTTATTTTTCATTTGATCACATATTTCTGTTGCGCCGCATTCTTCATTATTATATACACATTTATAAACAACTATTTTGACCATAACCCAATACTTATCGGTCAATTTTAGTTTCTTTGATGTTGATTCCTGTTGTTTGTTAGTTGACGATTGTTGTTGCTGTCATTTCTTTCGATTTGATGGGTATATGTCATCGTCATCATCACCTTCTTCATTATCTTTTTCTTCGTCGACTTCATCATCGTCGGAATGGTATTTTTGTCATCATTTATTGACGTATTTGGACTACATGAATGGTCTTCAATCGATAAACAAATAATATAATACATTGCATGATAGACTGATAGATCAACATCACATAGTAAACAATTTTGACTAGGCACGTGGACATGTGCCATAAAGTGATACGAAAGTCTCTGAAAACTATTTTTATACGTTTTTGTATGCGCTCTTTCCAATGGTGTGATTCACAAGTTCAAAGATGTTTTTATCAAGGTTTTCCAAACATTCGGTCTCTGGAATACCCGACTAAAAGTGTTTTTGAACTTTGTAAATCCCATCATTGGAAAGAGCGCATCCGAAAATCTATGAAAATAGTTTTCGTAGGCTTTCAGACTGCTTCTAAATCCAAAATCCTAGTGCCTAGCTAAAATTTCTACGAGAATGCTGCAAACCTGCCATTTCATTAAATCGAACGATTTTTTTGCGCATAAAAACATACAACTGACATATCATTCGATGCAGTTCGGTGCGCTGATTCTAAATATACTATTAGTTTTTAATGAAAGTGCTTTTGGAGCTGAGAAAAATGAATTTTGAACCTGTAACTCAGCCCAGAAACGTTTACGTTGATTTACGTTAACAGCATAGATGTATCGTTAGTAAAAGAAGAACGTTTCATTCGATTTGAAACTGTGCGCACTTACTGTATCAAGGACCGCTCTTTGAAAAACCCTTAGCCGAGAAAGAAGAATTATTTTTTCGGTTTCGAAGTCCAAAGAAAAAAAAAAATTTCCAATAGGTAGAGTAAAATGTCTAGTTTGAAATGGTGTATGATTTTTATAGATATTCTATTCTATTTGGCTAAAAATTGTTTTTTCGATCTTCATCGCTCTGTTTTTCAATAACTATGGCACTTAGAACAAAACTTTCTGTGCCGATTAAATAGAGCATAAGTTGGAGTATTTGACTTGCTATTCGAGTCTTGAAAGACTTCACTTTCTTTTTTCCACCTAATGTCCACGTGGTTGCCCACTGTGCATCAGATAACTTTATTGCTGTTGAAATAAATAATGATGGTTTTTCACGTTTCAATAAATAAAACTTTTCATAATTTGTTAAAATACCATACTTCAACTTATTTGCTCGGATATAACCAAATGTTTGCTGTAGTGGACGCCTAACTGTGATACCAGAAACACGATAAGCAGCAGCTAAGTTATACGGTGCTGCACAGTGGGCATATAGGCGGAAATTAGGCGGAAAATCGAAATAATCCTTTTTTCAAATATAAATAGTGCAAAATGTAGCTCTTGAAATTGTCTATCGAATGGTGTATAAATGTCTATTTTTAACTT